ATCCTGGCTCAGTAACCTTATTAATTTGTATAAAATATATTGTCTATAAAATAATACTTCCAATTTCTCTCAATTAATTTTCGTAACCAGATGTTGAAAACTATTAGCTAGGATGACAAAGCCCTAAAAGATTTCTTGCCACCAACAACCCTAATGCCATTCCCACTATCACTGAGGGGATTCAGACACTCCAAGAACCTACAGGACAGAGTAGAACATTATAAGGTTTCTAAGGGTATAAATATTTATGGGAAAAGCATGCTTATCTTTCCCCCTAGGAGCAGATGGTGTGCCTGAACTGCTGACCATTTGGCTTAGCAGTCCACTGCTTAACCCACTATACTACCAGGGCTCCTTTTAACTTTCTTTCTCAAATACTGAAAACTATAACCTATGATGATTAAACACCTTAAACACCCCACCCCCAATCCCAATTACATGTTGCCTAAAATTGGCAGAATCAACTAATCTAATACACGCCTTCTGATACTTAATGCAAGGAAATAATTCAGACAGGTTCCAAACTAGTCAACTATAAAAGGAAAGGATGTGTAATACCTGTTAATTCTAAGTCAAGATTCCTAATTGTGGCAGTTACATAATCTGTCAACGTGAGACTATTAAAGAGTGAAGGGGTGGAGGTTAGCCTGTCAGTCAGGTCACAGTTTGATGATCTCATTTGGAGGTGCTACAGATAAATAGCTCACTGGAGGCCAGACCCACATTCTTGGCTGTCTCCCTGCTAACAAGCCAGATGGAGTTACAATGATGGAGCCAGAGCCCTGAAGCTGGAGGAGCCATGTGGAGACCGAGACCCCCATCAGTGCTAGGATGATTCCACTGCCACTGCCACTGGATCCATAAGACTTTCCACGCACTCCCCTGTGATTTTCCTGATTTTGTCACCATTGCATGTTTCGTTGAGTCTGAAGAGGAATTTATAGACTGATATTGGACATATGGGTTGATACTGGACTTACAGACTCGATTTGGACTGGGCTGGGATGTTTTCTTAATATACAATTGCTCTTTTTATAAAGTTCTTTCTTATATACATATAAGTCTCCCTGGATTTGTTTCTCTAGTCTACCCAAAAGAACACACTAACCATTACCATGTTCAAGGGGGTTCCAAAAGTTCATGGAAAAATTCTTTCATTTAATTCTGTTTTCATGAATTATTTTTAAAGAGCCCTATATGTTATCATTCAACCTATTTTTTTAAAAAAAGTAAATGGGATTCCCTATGATAAAAAGATTTAATTAGGCTTTCACAAACAAAATCTTGTGGAAAGTTATAAATTAAAATGTGTCCTTATCACTCTACATTTAAAACATACATACCATGTCCATAAAATACATTTTTGCTTCCCTTATATATAAGCAATCTATAAATGATAATTAGCATCCAGATTTGGAAAAAATTGCATCATAAAATTTAAAGACACAAGAAGACACAACCAAGAGAGCGAGCAGAGAAAGTTTTAAATCACTTATTTACATTACTCAAAACTACATTAGACTTATATTGGTTCAGATATGATGAAAGTACTATTTACAAAAGTAAGTAGGAGGCCTTGTGGCACATTGTATTAAGCAATGCAATGTTAACCAGAGTCCAATGGTTCAAATCGAATAAATAAGGCTGTCTGCTCCTGTAATGATTTACAGCCTTGGAAACACTGTTAGAACAGTTCTAATCTGGACTATGGGTTCACCATGAGTTGAGTTCAGCTCAATGACATGGAGTTAATTGGTTTTACAGCAGAAACAGCTGCTTTGTTTAAGATGGCAAAGAATTTAACATACTGTTTTGACAAGTAGCCAATGAAAATGCTATTAAATGAACTCTAATTTATTTTGTTTACCAAAATGTGCCTACAATTCACAATTAATTCTTAAGAATAAATTTGAAAACCTTGACTACCCTTTCTAAGTCTCCGAAGAAAATTTTCATTGAGAATATTACCACAGCTGTCTATCATTTACATACTGGAAAAATATTTTTATATTTTATTAACAGAGGGACAAAGAGGCCCTAAATAATAAAATTGAAACATGCATAAAAATAATAAACTGGATATCCAGTTAAAGGCTGTTAATTTTAATTGTTTTTTTTTTAATTCTTTGATTCTTAAACTGAGACGTAGTTCACACTATTTAGGCAACAAATAGTTAAAATAAGTGAACCAATTTACCTCTAAAACACAGTATCCTTCCAGGTCAGAGGTCATTTTCTGTATACTAGCAAAGGCCACTTGCTATATAGTCTATTCCAACTCATGTTACCCCATGTGTGTAAGAGAACTGTGCTCTACTGTATGCAATATGCAATAGCTGACATTTTATAAGTAAATCTAGAACCTTTTACCCAAGGTGATTGAGTAGACTTTGGTTAGCAGCTGAACATACTAACCAATTGCACCACTCAGGCACCCACATACATTAACAGTCCAGGCTAGCCATTACACGATGCACCGAGTCACATAAAACTTTAGTTCTTATAACTTTAAAAAAGAATCCCAAAATGTGAATGTGAACATCTAAAAAACATTTAAAGTATCCTTTTAATATATGTTATAGAGTTTTAGGCCAACTAGGAAGTGTTATTTTTAAAAGTAATTACTACCTCCCCTACTGGAAGAGAAAAGAGTGATAAAAATCTAAAATCACATGGAAACAATTAGTCCAATGGACTAAGGAATCATGCAAGCTTCAATCTCCACAACCTTGAAACCAGAAGAATTGGATAGTGCCTGGCTACTACTACCAACTGCTCTGAAAATGATCCTGGTAAGGAGATTCTGGATGCAGCGGTAGAAACATGTGGTACTGAGTGCAAAACCATAAAAAGACCAGGCTTACTTGTCTAATAAGAGACTGGTGGAAACCTCAAGACCATGGCTCAGTCACCCTTCAGGTTTGAAAACTGAACTCATCTTTGAGTTAGCATAGTTACCCACAGACAAATGATTAGGAAAGGAAAAATGCAAATAGGAAATATTAGGAAGAAATTAGATAAAATGGTGACCCTGGTGGCATTGTGGTTAGTTGGGCTGTGATCTGAAAGGTGGGCAGTTTGATACCACCAACTGTTCCTAGAGAGAAAGATGGGGCCATTCTATACACATAATAGTTCAGCCTCAGAAACCCACAGGAGCAGTTCTACCCTGTCCTACTGGGAGGCTATGAGTTGGCACTGACTCGATGGCATTGAGGATAGCTTTGTTTATTTGGGATAAATAATGATGCACTCAGTGAATGGAAATGTACTAATTGAAACAAAATGTGTATTCATTGTTTAATGTAAAACTGATGATCTGCTCTATAAATTTTTACTTAAATTATAAACAAAAAACCCCCAAAACTACAACATAATGATTTCATTACTCTAAATCAAAACCAAGCTGAAGCTTCCAAAGTGTTAATAAGTAACCACAGAATTAAATATTAAGCATTGGAAGGTTCCTTTGATTTCACCTAAACTCATGTAGTCTAACAACCTTTGAAAGACTGTTAGAAACATAAAAGAAAAATATTATAGCTTACCAATAAGCAGCACTCACAACAAAATAAAACCCATGGGAAAAGCTCCAACATCTCCACTACTAATCTAGTATTTACTATAAATTTCTCATTATATTATAAACAAGAGTAGAAGTTAACAATATACAAACTAAGCCAACTAGTGAAATAAAGGAAGGTAATGTGGTAAGAACAGTCATATAGATGTCAATATGAGAAATAACATTATCACTGAAGGGACTACCAGCTCTTTTTGGTAGACCTAATATAAGCACTAAAAGCTACTCTAAGTACCATATCTCCACACACAACAAACTGCTGCTAATCAACTCAAGATCTTATTGTTTCCACAGAAACAGTGGTTCTACACTTTTTTCCAAGTTATTAGATGAAATGAAATAGGTTTTTTTCTCCAAAGAATATTAAACAAGTTCATTCATTCTTATTTTATTTATTCAGAGTAAGGTAGTGGAGGTTTATATTTCAGATCATCCAACTCTGTATTCAGCATGCTGTTCACACTACTCATCAACTCCCACCCCCCAATAGTCTATACCCCAAACTCACTCATCCTTTTTTGGAATGCAACTGCTATACTTTAAGGATTTGAGTAAAATTAAATCTGTAAGAGATTATTCCATCAACAAAGACACAAGTAAAACTTCTACATTTTTTACCTAAAATTTTAACCAATATAAAATTTTAAAGTTCAGTTTAATAGTTTGATGAAATCTTTTTCACCTGTTTAACTCTGAAAGGCCATTCAAAAAATTTTCCCAATACATTCATTTATATTTAAATTGCATAGGGGAAATGTAAATTTAGAAATAAAATTATTCAATTCATGATCTAAAGGAAAGTTACCCACTTTAAAGAAAAATTAACTGTAATTATGCTAAATGGATATGCATGCAGTATAAATATTACTTTCATTTATTACATTAACTGACACCATTTCTTATCCTTTAGCACTGGCAACGAAATAATTTATAGGTACTAATATCCAACTAGTTATTGTCTAACAACAAACATTAGGAATGTAAGTTTTACAAAGGCAGGGACTTTAATTCTATATTCCCAAGGACAATACTGTTGGTTCACAGTAGGTGCTCAATATACATTTGTTGAGGGGGAAAAAAAAGGGCTCCAAAGACATGGAGACAACTTCAACTCATTGTGACCTCACAGGGCAGGGTAGAACTACCCCTGTGGGTTTCTTGGACTGTAAGTCTCCCTCAGAGTAGCAGCAAGTTTCAAATGGTTGACTTTGGGGATAGTTAGAAGTCCAATTTGTAACCACTATACCATCAGGACAGAACAATTTAAATAATGACCCTATAGTTAAGATAGTTTTATTTAATAATTCTTTTCATAGCTAGATGTTAGTTGGGGCTTACTATTATTTTAAAAGAATATCCGAATATCGATTAAGTTTAAAGAACAGTTAATTTTAAAAAATAACCTAAAATTTCTTACCTGGTAGGGCTGAAAGGCACTATCTTCAGTTAAAAAATCCAGTTGCTTATCTACAAGGAATTCTACTGCAGTGATTGAACTGGGTACACTTTTTTCAACCAGGGGTTTGAAAGTCTGTCAAAAGAAAAAATATTCTAAAGATTATTTTCTGGGTTGTATTTTCAAAATAGGGGCATATCTAAATACAAAAGATTACTGTAATGATCACAATGGACTTAGCACCAATTAATGCTACTTTTATTATAATACAAAGTAATGGTTTTATAGCTATTAAAAAGGAATGAGGTAAATATATAAGGGTGATGAAAAATTCCATCTTAAGGCCTAAATTGTTTCCATTTTTGAGGGGCAGCCCAATTAAATATACAGTGTTTGCTGAGATTGCTTCTAAAAAATGTAAGCTGAGATTGGGGAATATATTTACCCCAGTCTTTAAAAACAAAACACATGAGTTATCATTCTTTATTAAACAGTAGCCATGGCTCATATACCTATTTTTTCCCTCCAGCTTATTCACATGAAACAGGATTTTAAGTGATAAGGATGCATCTGGTCTTTTAACTCCACCCCTCCCCAACCCCCTGCCCCAAGCACAAATAAAAATCCAGCTGCTTCAGAGAGCACCATGGGGGAAGGGAGCAGGAAGAACAGAGGGCATTAAAGAGAGACTACAGCCCAGCTAAGTTTCTCCTTTCACCACTACTTTTAAAAAAGGGAATTGAAGGTCAATTGATTTTTTTTTAATGGACTCATCTTTTATATGAAGGGTTTTATTTCCATCTTGGGGTAGGAGTTAAGAAGGTAAATAAGAAAGGTTAAAAAAAATAGAACATTACAGTTTCTATGATCATGAATTTAGAAGTAAAAAACGCTTGAGAAAAAAAAAATTCTAAAGTTCTAAAACCTAAAAATTATTGCTCTAAAGCCATGAACACAGAAACAAAATTACACCTTCTTGGATACATAAGCAAGTTTGGAAAATGGAATTAACCAACTCAGGTTCTAAACAACCTATATCACATGGAAAACACTTTCCTCCTAAAAGGCAACTTGTGACCATTTGGATACAAACCAAAGCTGTTGTTGGCACACACAGTAAAAATCCCCCAGGAGTCCCAATGCTATTGTGTTTCCCCCTTTCTGGGTCTTAAGGAAATCTAACATCTTGCAAATCACAACTAATAAACATAAGGGGGTGGGGTGGTAATTCAAGATCTTTAATTTTGACTGGCTTCTTACAATTTTTATACTTAAATTCTCTTTAAAGCTTCAAAATACGTTCATTGCAGACTTCTGTAATTGTGTTTTGAGAAACTAAAAATATGTACAAATAAGCAAGTATTTTAGACCTATTTTCTATATCACAAACTTTATCTTTAATTTTCAGTACTCATTGTCAGAATTTTTAGTCACAACACTCCCTTCACCATGTCCTAGGCTAACCTTTAACATACCCCCCCCACACGTATACATACATATATACATATATATATACATATATACTTTAAAAAACATAAAAGCTCACTGTCATTGAGTCTATATTATTTGGGCAAGAAATTGCATTTTCAAAACTGAAAATCCCCACATTATTGCCACTAATTACTGTTTTCATCTAACATTTTCCCTTGGCCATAAAATTTCATCACTTTTATTATTTTATCATCAAGTGACTGTACTTACAAGAAACCATGTACTTTTGACTTAAAATGTCCACTAATATTTGACTGATTGACATGATATATGCAACACGTAGAGGTATGAATTCAACTGACCTCTATTTTGGAAATCCCCTTTTCATATTATATCTTGGTCAGTTTAGAATAACAAAACACTGTCATCTTCTCAAGAGGGCTTTTAATCACTGAATTTTATCAAATGATCTATTTCTTTACAAACAGTACCTTGTTGGTCAGGTCAACTCCAGAAGGTTAACAAAAAGGTCCATCAAAGACATTATCTAAGAGGCTAAAGATACAATTCAATTCGGCAGGATTTGGGAAAAAGGTAGTCTCTAGTTTGAGTGCCTCTTTCTTACGCAAATAATACAGGTGGTTTGCATTTCCTATGAGACCTAGTCATTTTATAATATGAAAAGCATTCTTCAGAAGAGAATATCTGAGCTCTGTTTTTAAAGGTTGTGCCAGAGTTCTAAGGGTAAATTTCAAACTCAACTTTTAAAATAATTGAAATTACACTGAGTTAACAAGGAAATAAATTACTAAGTAAATATAAAAAATCAATTTCAGGTTTTAATTTAGCTAATCTGAAGTCATTAGCAGAATTAAGATACCAGAAATGTAAAGACTAGCTTAAAATGACAAAATTTTAATACTTTAAAACACTGATCTATTTCTGATACTTGCCACTTCATCTACAAATGGAGTTCCAAGGTTTATTATGCTTCTTATACAGCAAATAGAAAAGCCACAACTTGCATATTATATTTAAACTACAAAAGCATAATCAAGTATGTTCTCACCAAATTAGGATAAATACTTTTATAATCTTGTTAAAGTTTTCAATATGCATTAAAAGAGCAACTGTGAGAATTTGTGATTGTACTTTATGAAAAACTAAAGGCAAGCAACATATGAAATGATCTGGTTAAAACTTCCTCGTTTTTTCAAGTAGCTAATCAACAATGTAACCACTGTTAATTTTCTTATCCAGTAGAACACATATCAAAAGCTTACAATTTAAAAGACATGTCTAAGTAAATGGGTCCTATGACTCTTAATATTTCAAGGGTCTACATGCAAAGGAATGTAAAGAAATTACAACTCGTGCATACCTTAGTAATTTTTGACTCCAAAGATCTATCACTCTAAGAGGAACTTCAACAGCCTAAGGGGAAGCAAGGAGCAGCCATCTGATGAAAGTCACAGTAGAATATGGCCCTAATCACAAGCTTATTATTCAAATGCTGAAGGCAGCTTTTGAATTTCAATTGAAAATTACAATTTGAAATGAATACTCATCATGGAGACAAAACACATTTCCAATTTTTAACGTATTTTGACCTTGTTAACTGTACTTTAAAAACAGTCTAAATCCAAAATAAAAGAGAGTCTGCATTTTTAGTAGGGCCTACCAGGCTATAAGAAGAATGCTTAGAACAACTGTATCCTGTTTGGGGCTCCATGCTGCACCACATTCCATTCACATGAGGAAGAGACGAACAGATGAGCCCTCCCCAAAAAACATTTTTAAAATAAATCAGCTACAGCTCTCAAACACAACTCAGCTGCTCAAACAAACCATATTAGAGCTCACTATTGAACAGGAAATTCAAAGAGTTTGTCTGCAGTCTGAGTTTCTAATAATCCCCAGCTAACATTTAACAATTACTTTTCCAAGTTAAAATCAGGCTGAGTAACTACCAAAACGCTGACATAAATCTAACAAAAGGAAAATAATGAAGCAGAAAACAATCTAAGTGACATTTTAAGAAGTCAAGGTTTATTCTACTTAAAAAAAGTAAAAGGACGGCAGTGACTTTAAAGAACAAAGTCCAAATTCCCACCCAATCAAGTCCATTGAAAAACACTATGCTGTTAGAAAACAAGTTGGGGGCTGGGGAAGGGAACACACCACACAAAAAACTCACAAAACCACCTCACCACCACCACACACACACTTCTTTGGAAGTATATTCTAAAAACCCAAATTTGAAACACTTCTCTGCCATATTACTTTAAAAAAATTCTACTTTTTAATTAACCTTTTATAGTGTTATGAAATTATCACACATAAAATAAAAACCTCTTTCTAAACAAACAGTCTGGAATTCTTTAAGAGCACTGCGGCTAGCTCTTTAAGGCAGTGGCCCTAAATCCTAAAGCCGAGAAGCAAAACCAAATGTAAATTAAGACAAAAGAAAAAGGAAGCAGAAAAATACAAACCGTACTTTGTTCTTGAAAATTTTTAAGAATCTTTTAAATCTCAGAAATCCACGACACGGATTTAAAGGTCAAAAAGTATAACTGGCATTTCCATTTTGTTCTTGAGCAGTATTTTCTTTTAAAAAGCGTAAAATACTTCCTTTAAGTCTTCAAAAATCACGGGCAAATGGCTCTCAAACCAAGCATTTCCGAGCTCACTTGCAGCGTCGTCATTGTAAAGGAAGAAAAGCCAAGACCACAAAACGAAGCAGAAGCTGTAACCTAACAAGTCCCCGACGAGCAAATGACGATTTTCGGTCTGCTCTGGCTCAGCCCTGGCAACGAAGAGAATTACAACTCGCTCTTTGTCATCAGCACTGTGGTGTTAACGACTAAGAAATCCTGCAGCTGAAGCACTACTGCATCCTCCGATCTGGGTCACGATAATTTTTCCCGAGGTCGCTTACATAACCAGTAAGATACTCCAAATAGAGAGAACGGCCATCCATCAGCTAGAGAAACCCTTCCCACTGTACTCCGTCTGTGCGGAAACACTGCAGTAGCTTCCAACCGTGCAGACACCCAAATGAGAACTGAGTACTTGGCTTAGGACACACGGCGAGAAGGGAAGAGGCGGTGCTCTGTAAACTGTAACTAATCCCCCGTCACAGGTGCTGATGGAGTCACTTCCAGCACGAGTCACATTACTAGTGATTACTCATTTGGCTGTAGCCATAGAGATTGGCTTATAATTTTAACTGCAGACAAAGACAGAGACTACTGGCAAGAATGAAAGCTCAAGTTTGCTGTCTCCTTCATAAAACAAATGCAAATAAAAGTTTGTGCTTTCCAGATTTACCAAGGTCAATAAGTGCATAGAAAAAATAATATGAAAATATCTTTCAACCTCTACCCCCTACAAAGCATAACTTTAAACCATCATGCTTCAGTGTGTTTACAAACAAATAATTTATTTTTAATTTAATCATTTTGCCTTAAGAAATACACAGATATCAAAATATGAGAAAAAAAGACTTTAAAATGTCTTTGGTCAACTGAAATAAAATGACATCATCTACAATCTCAGAAGAATTTTATAACAAGGAAAACGTAGTATTTTGGCAGATTAATAAGAATACTAAAATATCTTTATTCTGAACAAAAACAATTTAATCTAGACAACTCAGATATAGACCTGCAACTTAAGAGTATAAAATATGATTTTTTTCTCAT